AGCCCATTGAGTGCTGCAGTTTTCCTGTTAACCTTCAGCAGCAGAAAACAAACTAACCCCCCACATCCAATTTTCTGGGATGAGCACTGTACCCTTCCCCCCACTGCGTGGCTGGTATCGGAGAAGATCCCTGCTAGCCAAAGGCAAAAAGCTCAGCACCAATTCCCCGCCCCTGCGCTTGACTAACTGCAGGGAAGGATTTCTTTTCAGCCACAGGCAAACAGCCCAGTAGGAATGGCCACCTTTGTCCCCTTAATTAAATTCCCGTATTTCAACCAGGTTACCATGAGCGATATCGCTCTCCTGAGGACTACACAGCGAGATAAAGAATGGATGTTGCTTGAATGCCAGCAAACACCGGGACCATACGCTGCCAGGCTTTGTCATGCAATGATACCAGATTACTTGCTACTAGCATGGCATGGTCAAGTGTCCTACCAAGGAGGACAGAATAAGGCTGCACTGCCCAGAAACCTTCTGCAAAGGCTTTTGGAGTACCTCCAGGAGAGCTTCATGGAGATGTCCCTGGAGGATTTCCGCTCCATCCCCAGACACGTTAACAGACTTTTCCAGTAGTTGTACTGGCCGCGAATGCATCCCAAGTCCTCAGGGCAAATTAATCATTAAAAAGCACTTGCTTTTAAACCATGTTTTATATTTTAAAAGGTAAACTCACCTGAGGTCCCTTCCATGGGGTCATGGTCTTGGGTACTGTCTTGGGAGGGTATTTCAGTCAGGCTGAGAAAAAGATCCTGGCTGTTGGGGAGAACGGAGTGCTGTGTGCTCTCCGCAAGCTCGTCCTCCTCCTCCTCCCCTTCCCGTCCGCAGAATCCTCAGGTGTGGCTGATGAGATTACCCCCACCTCAGAATCCATGGTCAGAGGTGGGGTAGTGGTGGCGGCCCCCCCTAGAATTGCATGCAGCTCAGCGTAGAAGCGGCATGTCTGCGGCTGTGACCCAGAGCGTCCGTTTGCCTCCTTTGTTTTCTGATAGGCTTGTCTGAGCTCCTTGACTTTCACGCGGCACTGCTCTGAGTCCCTATTGTGGCCTCTCTCCATCATGCCCTTGGAGATTTTTTCAAAAGTTTTGGCATTTCGTCTTTTCGAACGAAGTTCTGCTAGCACTGAATCCTC